GACTTAGAATATGCAGACAATATAGTCCTTCCAGGCGAGGACGCCGACAAAATCCAGCAGTCTTATGAACACCTTGAACTGCAATCTACGAATATTTGGCATGCGATTCGCTCCCGCCAAATGCAAGATGATGTTACAGGACTGGACTACACCACCTCCAAGATTGGAAATGGGAAGTGAAGTGGTAGAGCACGTTGACCGCTTCAATTATTTGGGAAGTACCATTAGCCAGTGCCAACGGGTTGATCCCTGACGAAATCTCAGCTGAGTAAGGATACAGAGGGCTCGTTTCGCATATGCCAGTTTACGCCGTCCCTGGCGTAGGCGTGATGTCTGACTGGCTATCTACCAAAGGTCAGATGTACTGCTCATCAGTCCGCTCCATCCTCCTTTATAACTGTGAGACCTACCCATTGAGAGTGGAAGACGTGAAATACCTGGTTAGTTGTCTTTGATCATAGGTGCCTGCGATCTATCTCCTGTGTGAAGTGGCTTAATAGGGTGAGCAATATTGAGGTTAGGCAAGGGTCGAGTGCTAGGTAGGTGTGAGGGGAAATCAATCGAAGAGGCCGTGAAGCTACATCGACTGAGATGGTTAGGACATGTGTCACGCGTGTCAGGCCACCGCCTTCTTCGAAGGGAAGTATTAGCTAACATAGGATCACTTTGGAAAAAAGACAGTGGTGGTCAAACGAAAACGTGGCTTCATCAGTCAATGAAATCCACAAGAGTTAGTTTAAGCCACGTAAAAAGATGTAGACTTCCTGACTGGTTGGGGTCCTCGGGACGGTAGTAACCAATATTTGAAGACAATTGGTGATATGGCCGAAAATCGTTTCCAATGGCTTGTGCAGATGCATCCACTCCTTGTGACTAATAATACCCAATGAAACTACATTGTTCTTCGTTATTACTATTCCTTTTGTCTCTTATCATTGTTTACTTTCTGTATTTTGCATTTCTTCCACTTTCTTCTCTTGCTTTGTGTGCTACATGTGGGGAGTGTGGCGACTTGAAATGCTGCACATCGGTGCAAAGTTCTTTGTTGAAAACAGGCAGACAGACCAAGGCTCGCACGACCCATGGTGAGTTCTCTTCGTTTATTGTCTTCTTCCAGCCTCGCATTCACATCACCCACCAGGATTTTGATATCACTATTGAGGGACTTTGTCGATTACTGTTCGTAGTTGTCTGTAGAAATCCTCCTTCTTTTCTCGCTCTGAGACGTTTGTAGGCGCATAGCATGGAATGATTGTAACCTTCCTTCCTTTTCAGTTGAACCTGGCTGTCATCATCCTGGAGGAGATCGGTTTCCACTGCATGATAGCTTTGACTGCTGTTGGTGACATCATGATGGCCACTCCCTCAGTGTGCTCGTGATTGTCCTCTGGGTGACCGGAATAGATTATTGTCTCTCCAGTTGGTAGTTGGCACCTTCCACATCCGTCACATCTGCCCTCGCAGATTCCCAACACTTCTATCCTATATCTCCTCATTTCTACGGCTACCTGGGCAGCCTTTCCAGTTTCGTACACTGTGCTAACGATCCACGTCCCCATCCCTATTTTCGTTTTCATGGAAAGAAGGCTTATTGGCCGACTGGCCTTCCCAAGGCCTTCGCCAGCCTGTGTCATTTCACTTTTTCGATTCCAGCGAAAAATAAGGTTATTGTTTATATAATTAGAATCTTTAATGTATTTGTGCGTTGAAGTTTCCGCAGTGGTTTGGTTAAGTTTCTGAGGTGTATTTGCTTGCACCACGCCCCAACCCCCCTCTTTATCCGGGCTGGGGACCAGCCAGAAAACCAGCGAGCTAGTAATCCAGGCGAGGTTAGTTAGGTTTTAGTAAGGATTATTATTTTAAGGTGCGGACATTAATGAAGCTTCCTGAGCTCACCTACTTTCCTTCTCATCCCTCTCACATTGCCATAAAGGCAGCTGGCAGTGAGTCTCACACCCTTGGAGTGTTGTGGGGTAGTTGACGCTACGATAGCTGCTGGTAGGGGACTTTATTTTGGGGCTAGTTGGCCTATTTCAACGGAAGCGGCCGGTTGTCGTTTTCTCTTGGACTCGGGTAGGACACTTGGATGACACTGACTGTCATTCTAAGGTCCGCATCGCCCTAGTGTCGCTTAGGCTTGTGGACGTATTAAGGCGATAATTTCCCGCCTCCATATGATTTTAGGTCTGGTTTTGCAGCATCGAATATGACTTCCCAATTTACCCTTAATCTCGTACCACAGTTGAATTACCAGAATCAACTGTCCTGAGATTTGAATTTGATATTTAGCAGCCTTGAGGAGCCAATCAATGTGACATGAATGAAGTACATGGAAAGTTGAAACTGCTCTGGTAGGGCCATCTGAGACGACAGCCATCCACATTGCTGTACGTCATGCACAAGCGGTGCCAGTTCCCAGCTCGGGAACAACGTATATGGCCATAGAGGTAGAAGGCATCAATTCTGGTGACTGCCTTGTCATTTGCCTGTTAGCCAATGAACTCTCATGCCCCACTCTTATACTGGAACTTCTGCCAATAGCTAATACTTGAACCGTTACCAGTTTATTTCAGCATCTTTGGCTGGGCCCAGTGTCACCCTTAGAGGAGGTGAGTTACCCCGAGGTGGCTGAATACCCCTGTACAACTTGCACGGTTTTCCTAAATTGATGTTCACACCCAATTTATTATACGAATTAGACTGCTGTGCCTGATCAAACAGAACCTTTTGTTCAAGCAAATTGTCATTGCACACGAGTACGTCAAACAATATAAGGGAATTCGATTGACTGACCTCAGAATTAGATCTGATTTTTGGCTGCTTGTCCGCGTTTGTAGGGCCATTCACTCCAGATTTCATCGGATTCTGGCTTATCTTTGGTGTGTTTCTATGCTTGCCAGCGGGTGCAAGTGGTTCTTTTGCAATTCTGTCTTGCCCTGCTGTTCGAGATGTACACTTGGGGGTCTTCAGTTTATGAAAATTGCTTTTTCTATACGGTTGGGTTGGAGTGCCAAGTTTTAGTGGTTTGGTGTTATCAGGTGGAGCGCTGCATGAGACACAAAAGTGGCGTGCTATTTCTGCTATTCGGAGCCACTCTGTGTGGGGCTGTGCCAGGGCTACAAAGTAGGCAGATGTACCAGCACCACGGGCATGCGTTAGTTCGCATACACTCATAATATGGTTGTGGCACCCCTTTATCACAACGTCAGTGCACCCATCGTTTGTAAAAATTGCACTGAAATGCTTAATCAGTTTTAGAAACGACAACTCCACAGGCCTGACATTTATCTCCTTTTCTAGATGACACCTTCGAGGTCTTATGAAGTCTTGTGCGTTTCTTTTCCGTTTTGCTGTATGTCGCGCCATAGCTTCCGTTGGATACAGGTGTAGTATCATGTTTAATTCGTTTTAACTGTGCCATTTTAGCTCTAGACTGTATCAATTTAGCGATAGTATCAGAACACGGGGGGTGTACACGAGTCATTAGAATCGGTATGCAAGATGGAGTTGAAGTCACTGGGTTATTGCCTCCTCTGGCAGAATACCTTTTCACCTCAGAATGTGGTGTTTTGGTGCTTTTTTGTGGCTACTTTAAACCGCCATATTAACAATTGCTGTAACTTATATATGAATAAGAGATAGCAACAGTATCTGCCTCATAGAACAAAAACTAAAGGATTGATAAAGTACAAGATAAGGGATAGAGGTTTTCAACTTAGTATCTTTGGTTACTCGGCTTCACACAAATCACATCACAGACCAACAAGTCTTGTTGGTTTCAACGAGTGAGGAGGATGCTGCTAAAGATTTAGCACCCGAAGATTTGGCAGTGGTGCGAGGCAGTCGGACTTATTATCCCCTGAGATTTGAAATGGAAGTAATGGTTGAATTTAATTCACAAACTGGGAATATTAGGGTTGCGAAGCGGATAATTCATAGAAAAAGTATTTTCCGGTTAGAGAAGAAAAAGCACGTCGTATTCATGGAGTGCGTGGTCTAAGCTTTTTATGTAGACGAGGGAACAGATGCGCGACAATGCATTTGCCACACTGTTGTTCCCTCGGATACATGGCGAACATCCTACGAAAACTGTGAAAAATAGTCCAGCTGTCGTGATTTCCTTGGCGACTGCTTTTCTGGGGTTGAGGTAAGAGAGTATGTTAGGGATTGTAGTCAGTGGAAACCCTTCATTGAATGTCGGAACTGGCGTGTAGAACAATGCATAGCAAGATGTTCTCTGCCGAATATGCTGTACTTGTTTCTGCTAGTTGTAGACGCCTCGAGAAAAAGGTGAGCAGTTGGCACACTCTGTTGATTAGCTGCTGCAGAACTGAGCCAATCGCACTTTTTGAAGTGACAGTATTAGAACAGCATTTCTCAAGAAGCGTGCGCAATCAGTGAGTTTTTCGCCACGCCTGCTAACAAGACAGTCTCTGAATGGTTGCTATTGCTTAGAGACAAAGTTCTACTCACTGGTAGCTTTACTGCCTACAAAATCAAAGCTCACTGAGGCCTTCCAGATGAAAATTTAGAAGATTTATTATCTGAAAAAAACAATTCTTACGTTGTGTGTTTATGCACTATTGCTGAATTACTTGATTTACACATGGTACTCATCCCCTGCCGTCTAATAATTTGATCCACTCACTATCTAGATTTCATTTCAACCGATCTATTTAGTGTTTATTTTCCTAACTGGAGGGGAGCCCAGTGAAACGGAATTATTGGGTCTCATTAGCTACACTGCTCCAGTATAAAGCATACACCCCCTCCAAATTGCTACGATCTACCTCCTTCCAGTCTGTTCAACAAGCTGCAGTGACCTGAGAGATTGATTGTACTTAGACTCATCGAGATTTCTTAACATTTTCGGAGCAACACCAATGAAAAGATAGGAAATCATAAAAGTAATATAAGCTAGTCAAACTGAAAGTTTTAAATACCTACATTTGAAGGTCTCTGAGAGAACGTAAACAAAATGGGTTGGCGGATTTTTAAATATGTTTACTTTGATACATTTGTTTCCTGTTTGCATTTTACTACTTCTTTATGAAAGAGGTAAGTTCATAACAAAGACAATATTTAACCGAGGAAGAATTTTCATTAATTATATCTGTTGTGCTCTTTCCGTCATTTTTTGAAACTTCAGTGGAAATCAGAAGTTTAATAATATTTCGTGACTTTCGGCTGTATAGCAGAAAGAGATAATAGCGATTTTACTGACCTTTGAGCAGTTTTTCGGAGTTTTGTTTCTCAATTTTCAACTCTCACTTTGTTATATACTACTTTCGTGGCATATTAGTATAGCCTTATTCGCCCATATGTTCTCTAGATCTTAAGATATCTTTGACAAATTATTTGAAATATTTATGAGACTGCAACTCCAAACTGATGAAGTTGTTAGGGAAGTTTGATTTGTTCTCGAATTCTCGATCGACTGCGAATTTCAACTCGAAGGGGCAGTTTACATCTTGTTAACTGAAGTAGGCTTTTGGTTGCATAGTTAGATGAGATGTCAGATTACTGTTTGAAAGGACTTCGTTATTTTAACATTCGGTAGATTTAAGTGGAATAAAGTCATTCATTGATGGTTTGTGCATGTTATGGGTGGTATAACTATACCCGCCTACATGACCTTCGAGTACTTGTGTTTACAATAATCAGCTAACAGGTCTACATACACTCGCTAACTAAGTCAATCTCTGTCTTTGTGTGAATATCTTCATAGCTTAATATCGTCTGCAAATACTGGATGAAATAACTTAGCAACCAACGCCATCTCATTTACATGCAAGTAGGAAAATGAGACGTGCAAGAATTTTTTTTAAATCACCCCATAACTTACCAGTTGACATGATGACAAGGCGCTATTAACATTTGTTATTTGTCTCCTATCTTTAAAGAAATCCCAAATCTAGTTTTTAGCCACTTCATTGATCCCGAAACTTCCTAACATTTTCAGAAAACAAGAATAAGAGTCCAAATTAAGGCCTTTGGTAAGGTTATCGAATTTAGAGTTTACTAGAATATAATCTTCAGTTGCTGTAGTTCAATTTTACCACTTCAAAAGAAGTTTGGTCCAGCAAGAATGATTTGTTCTAAAATGATGCTGTCCCTCAGGGAAAAGATTATTACCTAAAAATGTTGACTAACAACATAACGGGTGACTTTCACCAGCTTTAGGCAGAAGTACTGGTTAAACTTAGTGGAGAATAGTTCCATGTCGCTTTCAAAAATCAGACTAACAATGGTGTCCTTCTGGTGTTATAGAGATGTAGACTGTTCCAATGACCTGTTGTGCATTACCGACAAAGTGTCGGCCATCATCCAGTCTAATGCGAATAACATTTGTGAATGAAGTTCATCAGGAAAACTGGGATTGAACTGATGGAGCAGTTTAGGATGGTTTCACTCATTGCATAGAAATATTAAAGATCACATTCCAGAAAATCTACTATTGCTGCATTATCACTCTCAGGCAATACCTGGCTAAAGTAGCTTCACGGATCTACAGTATTTTCAAGTTGTCGCGTGACATGCTTGCAGCGCTTTTATCAAGTAGAGGATTTGGGATGGCAGTGTTATTTTCACTTCTTCTCTAGTAGCACTACAGGAGAGTCTTCAAACGTGTCTGCAATTTCCTAAATGTCTTTGATTTATATCCCTTCATATATTGATAAATCACGTCCTTGTACTAATTTATCCTTTCACATTAGTGTAGGAAAAAATTAAGAGTCCTAGTAGAGATAGAGAGAAATCATAACATTTCCCTCTTCTGTAGGAGTGTCACGGTTTGTCTATGAATCCACAGAGATGATTTTCAGGCTCACTAGGAATCCTCATTTCATTGAATTCTGATGTGACCATCCCAAGTATATGGTTGAATTTATTCGGGCATCATTAATGGATGAGTCACTACTGACCAATCACTCTACAGCTAAAGCTCACTCCTTAGCAGATATGATATCCACATGCCAAACGTTAAAATGAGCATGGGGTTGCATCTGGACTTAATTTCAAGCTCTTATGTTGGTGAAATGGCCACTATTAACTGAAGTAGAAGCGATAACTAGACTCTTCATGTTATCTACACCTGCATAAAGGCACCACTGTGTACCTCTACCTTCTTTTACCACTAATTTGCGTACGTTTCTTAAACCGAAGATCTTACATGAGTTCAGATGCTAGTGGGACTTCATTAACCTTGGAAACCTTGAAAAGGATTTACCAGGAGATCGCCACTCCATCTTCGTGTCCGTCTTCTTTTGTATTTGTGCCTGTCAGCTTATTAGAATTGAATGAATGAAATTCGAATACCATACATTTAGATCGGAAAAATACTTCTCAGTGTAAATCACATTTGTTTATGAAGCTAATTATGAGTTATTTGTTAATTATGAATATATTTTAATGTCATTACAGTAATTTACACATCCCAACTTACTGATCATTACTATAAACATTTTTGTTCAGTTATTAAAGTGTTTCTGCTATCCCCATTGTCAAAGAATGTCACTAGCATACCCTTACCGATAGCTTCTCCTACAACACGAAGGACAAGACTGCATATAGCAGTAACTCAATCGGTTTTATTGGCTGAAGCGAATGTTCTGCAGGTGTTAACATAGCAAATAGGTCGTCTGAATAGTGTTGATACTAGAAGAAGTTATCAACGTAGTTTAAGTCATGTACTGTATGTTGGAGGAATGAGTGTGAAGTCATACTGATGGCGGATAGGGATATCATAACAGTTAAGCGTTTCTCTTGCATAACTAGAAAGGTAGATATATTGCATCCCCGTGATGGGAAAAAGGGTTAGAAACGGTCAAGTCCTCGGCATCTCGTAGAGATGTAGTTCCAAAAATCACTTCAAATATACTGTATGTGTGACTGATCCCAAGAAGTATTCCCCTGAGATTTGTGGTAACTCAGCATAAATAATCACTCTGTTTCAGTCCACTTCGGTAGCTTCGAAAATGGTGCCTTAGAAATATCTTATATGGTGTAAACTTGGTTTCCTTTATGATTTGATTTGATGAATTAGTCTGGGTCATTCACGTTATCACTCCTGTAAACTACAAGACAATAATGTTGTTTGGTGACTTTTCTCTCAATACATTATGTAGTATGTTCATGTATTGATTAATTTATACTTATGGAGAACTGAATTTGACTAATATTCTCCAAACTTTGAGCGTATTACATCGAAAGGATGCCTGAAGTTTTTTCCACTTAAAGTCAGTTATGTTTTTGCGCTAGTTCTCACTTTCTCGATAAATTCCAGTCCAGGAGATTGTGGACTGTTTCTGAATTCAACTGTATTTATTGAGCTGCATAAAAAGACTACGTACACCAGGCATTTGAAATCTTTTTGGTCTTTCATTTCCATTATCAAGCCTTTGTGTTGTATTGAATCTTTGGTTTCATCATTTCTTGATTTTAAAGAGACCAGGAGACTTTCTCCCCAGTAAATAATTATCTAACCGAAAATATAGTAATATCCATTTGGTTGCTAGGACCGTCCCTGAATTGAATTACGTACGTATGTGATATTATAATACGTGTATGATACATAATCTAAAATGGCAGGGCAGACAAGAGTACTGTGCCAATTGATCGTACGTGGTGGTTCTATACGAAAAAAGAAATGATAAAATTTCAGTTTTGATGAAGAGCTGACTTCAGATTCGATCAAGAGTTGACATAAGTTAGACAGCCATTAGAATACTACCAGGGAGTACTGGACAACTGTTTCCTCCCGAGTTGAGCATCATCAGCAAACAGTAAGCAATCCTCCACTGGGGTTCGAACCCAGAACCTTAAGGTTACAAGGCGAGCTCGAAGACCATTAAACCACGAGGACCCTGTGTAATGACCAGTACATCAGTTCCAACAGATTTCATTTCATGACACATATATCGCGTAACCGCTAGGCAACGTTATGGGCAAATAACTGTTCTGTTTCTAGACTTGGTGAACCCCTATGTTTTAAGCTCAGTGGATGTGCATTGATGAGGGGTCACATACTAGGAGGAAACAGCTGGTTTTCCAGTGGTTCTCTAACTGATATCGACTCCATGCAAACCAACACTTGAGAACTGACTTCAGTCTCATATTCCCCAGTTTTCAATGGTTCTCTTACAACGTAGGTCACTTCATAATCGAGGCTGAAATCAATTCAATCCCTTCAAATCGACACTTTAAAATGAATCCAGTGTTCAGTAGTGACTAACTAGTGGATGAAGTTGCATGGATAAGTCGAGACCTGCAGAGTCCATCAAGTTAGGTATAACGACAGATATTTGTCGGTAACATCGACTGACGATTGCGCTACACTTATCGCGAAACGACAGAAGTTATAACTCATGGGTAGTTGGATTCCATCCTGGTGGCTGAATGTTAAGGAAGCTCTCTTTGTAACCTAAAGCTCCAGTATTCCATCGTTCCTGGTTAATGGGTGTGTTATGGGTGCGTATTGCAAAAGAGTCACAAGCAAGACTGAAACAGCTATCAAATATTATTACTATATTATTTTTTCCTTTAGTTTCTAGAGGAACATACGGCTTCAGCCGCATGTCTCTGTTGCGTCCTGTCCTCTGCCAACGTTTTCATCACCTGGCTCCACATCTGCCCACATGCTTTCATCTCCTCTTCACATGACATCCTTCACTTTGTCACCCTCTCACTAACCACCAACTCACCGATTCCCATTCGGTTTCCACTCGAGCAATGGCCTGTTTAGTGATGTTCCTCACTTGATGGTTTGCTTTCTCAGAGTGTGGTCAGCCAATCCACCTCCATTTCTTCCTACAAATTTTGTTGCACAATTTTTTCCTGGTCGGTTCGTTCCCAGAGATCCCTCACTGTTGCTAATCTTTTCTGGCCGTCCATGTGATCTTGGGTAGTACTGAGCGAAGACGGCGGTTCATGAAAGTCTGTAGTTTGTTCGAAGTGACTTTCGTGACATGGTGCGGCGCCAAATCTCTAATCCGTATGGTGAGTAGGACTGACTGACTTCACACTAGAGTTGAAAGTCAGGATCTTGTTTGTCATGCTGA